AACATAGCCATTTCTGTGACCAGTCACAAGCTAATCACTCCCCTATTTCAATGCTAAATTCCCTGCTAATTCCTTTGTCAAGGGGTGCCTCTGTGGATGTGTAGGCTTTGACTTTAAGATAGCCATTTCTGTGACCAGTCACAATCTAATCACTCAGCTATTTCAATGCTAAATTCTCCTGTTTGATTTGTACTAGGTGCCTCTGTGGATGTGTAGGCTTTGACTTTAACATAGCCATTTCTGTGACCAGTCACAAGCTAATCACTCGGCTATTTCAATGCTAAATTCTATGCTAATTCCTTTGTCAAGGGGTGCCTCTGTGGATGTGTATGCTTTGACTTTAACATAGCCATTTCTGTGACCAGTCACAAGCTAATCCCTCAGTTATTTCAATGCTAAATTATCCTGTTTGATTTGTACTAGGTGCCTCTGTGGATGTTGTAGGCTTTGACTTTAACATAGCCATTTCTGTGACCAGTCACAAGCTAATCACTCAGCTATTTCAATGCTAAATTCTCCTGTTTGATTTGTACTAGGTGCCTCTGTGGATGTGTAGGCTTTGACTTTAACATAGCTATTTCTGTGACCAGTCACAAGCTAATCACTCAGCTATTTCAATGCTAAATTCTCCTGTTTGATTTGTACTAGGTGCCTCTGTGGATGTGTAGGCTTTAACTTTAAGATAGCCATTTCTGTGACCAGTCACAAGCTAATCCCTCAGTTATTTCAATGCTAAATTCCCTGCTAATTCCTTTGTCAAGGGGTGCCTCTGTGGATGTGTAGGCTTTGACTTTAAGATAGCCATTTCTGTGACCAGTCACAATCTAATCACTCAGCTATTTCAATGCTAAATTCTCCTGTTTGATTTGTACTAGGTGCCTCTGTGGATGTTGTAGGCTTTGACTTTAACATAGCCATTTCTGTGACCAGTCACAAGCTAATCACTCAGCTATTTCAATGCTAAATTCTCCTGTTTGATTTGTACTAGGTGCCTCTGTGGATGTTGTAGGCTTTGACTTTAACATAGCCATTTCTGTGACCAGTCACAAGCTAATCACTCCCCTATTTCAATGCTAAATTCCCTGCTAATTCCTTTGTCAAGGGGTGCCTCTGTGGATGTGTAGGCTTTGACTTTAAGATAGCCATTTCTGTGACCAGTCACAATCTAATCACTCAGCTATTTCAATGCTAAATTCTCCTGTTTGATTTGTACTAGGTGCCTCTGTGGATGTGTAGGCTTTGACTTTAACATAGCCATTTCTGTGACCAGTCACAAGCTAATCACTCAGCTATTTCAATGCTAAATTCTCCTGTTTGATTTGTACTAGGTGCCTCTGTGGATGTTGTAGGCTTTGACTTTAACATAGCTATTTCTGTGACCAGTCACAAGCTAATCACTCAGCTATTTCAATGTTAAATTCTCCTGTTTGATTTGTACTAGGTGCCTCTGTGGATGTGTAGGCTTTGACTTTAACATAGCCATTTCTGTGACCAGTCACAAGCTAATCACTCAGCTATTTCAATGCTAAATTCTCCTGTTTGATTTGTACTAGGTGCCTCTGTGGATGTGTAGGCTTTGACTTTAACATAGCCATTTCTGTGACCAGTCACAAGCTAATCACTCACCTATTTCAATGCTAAATTCCCTGCTAATTCCTTTGTCAAGGGGTGCCTCTGTGGATGTGTAGGCTTTGACTTTAAGATAGCCATTTCTGTGACCAGTCACAATCTAATCACTCAGCTATTTCAATGCTAAATTCTCCTGTTTGATTTGTACTAGGTGCCTCTGTGGATGTGTAGGCTTTGACTTTAACATAGCCATTTCTGTGACCAGTCACAAGCTAATCCCTCAGCTATTTCAATGCTAAATTCTCCTGTTTGATTTGTACTAGGTGCCTCTGTGGATGTGTAGGCTTTGACTTTAAGATAGCCATTTCTGTGACCAGTCACAAGCTAATCACTCAGCTATTTCAATGCTAAATTCTCTTGTTTGATTTGTACTAGGTGCCTCTGTGGATGTGTAGGCTTTGACTTTAACATAGCCATTTCTGTGACCAATCACAAGCTAATCCCTCAGTTATTTCAATGCTAAATTATCCTGTTTGATTTGTACTAGGTGCCTCTGTGGATGTGTAGGCTTTGACTTTAACATAGCCATTTCTGTGACCAGTCACAAGCTAATCACTCAGTTATTTCAATGCTAAATTCTCCTGTTTGATTTGTACTAGGTGCCTCTGTGGATGTTGTAGGCTTTGACTTTAACATAGCTATTTCTGTGACCAGTCACAAGCTAATCACTCAGCTATTTCAATGCTAAATTCTCCTGTTTGATTTGTACTAGGTGCCTCTGTGGATGTGTAGGCTTTGACTTTAACATAGCCATTTCTGTGACCAGTCACAAGCTAATCACTCAGCCATTTCAATGCTAAATTCTATGCTAATTCCTTTGTCAAGAGGCTCTGTTTCTTCTCACACAGCTTAAAGGTCGCGATCTGAGCTTGTGGCTGTGTTCGCTCCAGCGCTGTCCTACCAGACAGTCTCGTCCCTTCACCTGATGAAGGCCGCTTGTGTCGTGGCCGAAACGTCGTGAGAATATTATTGTGTTATTTTATTATTTTATTATTCTCATTCTACGTGGTGGTGACTTTACCGAAAGAACCAAAGAAGACTTATCCAGCCCTCGCATTTCCGTTGCCTCGGCTACTGTAATCCTTCTCATCTTGGTCTTCCTGCCTATGCCTTAGCTCACCAAGGCCGTAATTATATATTGGGGGGCGGGTGGATGTATCCCCCCCCCAACTTTTTAAAACATTTTCTTGTTGTGGTTTTCACACCTTGATGATGATGATTGCTTCTCGTGTTGCAGTCAAAACGTCGTGAGAATTTTATTGTTTTTATATTTTTTTATATTATTGTTTTATTGTTTCACACCTGATGATGATTGCTTCTCGTGTTGCAGTCGAAACGTCGTGAGAATTTTATTTTGTTTTATATTTTTATTATTTTATTGCTTCACACCTGATGATTGCTTCTCGTGTTGCAGTTGAAACGTCGTGAGAATTTTATTGTTTTATATTTTTATTATTTTATTGTTTCACACCTGATGATGATTGCTTCTTGTGTTGCAGTCAAAACGTCGTGAGAATTTTATTGTTTTATATATTTTTATTATTTTATTGTTTTATTGTTTCACACCTGATGATGATTGCTTCTTGTGTTGCAGTCAAAACGTCGTGAGAATTTTATTGTTTTATATTTTTATTATTTTATTGTTTTGTATATATATTTTTTAAATTATTTTATTGTTTTCCCTTCTTATACTACGCTGCAGTGACTTTACCCGAAAGAACCAAGATTATGAATCTTGTGCAGTCACGACCTGCTTTAAATCGAAATTCACTGGCCACGTCTAGATCCTCCCTTGAGAGATGTGTGTCTTTTCTGAGCAGCGTTTCCCCTACACTACTCCCTGCCCTTCTTAAACCTTTCCAATCCTGGACCCCTCCGTTTTCCTGTCATCACCCATCTTTACCATCCCTTGCCGCTCCCCAACTCTCAATAATCCCAGATAAGATGAGATGGCAGGCGAGGTCGTGAACATCTCCTAGCCACCACGGTGGGTTAATTTTGACTCTGGCTCAAATGGGTTACCTAGTGCGGTGGTTTGTAGGAATATAATCTCCACTGGGGAGACAAAGGCGGCCGGGGAGTTGTGGTGATGGCCAACCAACGCCTCTCTCTGTGTGTTCCACAGTGCCGGGCGTCATAGGCGCTGCTACTCGCTGCTTAACGGCACTTGCCCCAACAGTCTGTTGCAAGCTACGCGGGGGAACTTTGTCTTTATAGCGAGTGAGGTGGTGGGTGTGGGGTGGGTGTGTGTGGGAGTGGGTGGGTGGGTGAGTGGGTGGGTGAGTGTGTGAGTGAGTGGGTGTGTGTGTGTGTGAGTGAGTGAGAGAGTGAGTGGGCGAGAGACAAGAGGATGAGTGAGTGAGTGTGTGTTTGTGTGTGAGTGGGTGAGTGAGTGTGTTTGTGTGTGAGTGGGTGAGTGAGTGTGAGTGAGTGAGTGTGAGTGAGTGGGTGAGTGTGAGTGTGAGTGGGTGAGTGAGTGAGTGTGTTTGTGTGTGAGTGGGTGAGTGAGTGTGTTTGAGTGTGAGTGGGTGAGTGAGTGTGAGTGAGTGTGAGTGAGTGTGAGTGAGTGTGAGTGAGTGTGAGTGAGTGGGTGAGTGAGTGGGTGAGTGAGTGTGAGTGTGAGTGAGTGTGTGAGTGAGTGGGTGAGTGAGAGTGAGTGTGAGTGAGTGAGTGTGTGTGTGAGTGAGTGGGCGAGTGAGTGGGCGAGTGAGTGTGAGTGAGTGGGCGAGAGACAAGAGGATGAGTGAGTGTGTGAGTGGGTGAGAGACAAGAGGATGAGTGAGTGTGTGAGTGAGTGATTGAGTGTGAGAGTGTGTGAGTGAGTCAGTGAGTGAGTGAGTGAGTGCGTGAGTGAGTGTGTGAGAGACAAGAGGATGAGTGAGTGTGTGAGTCAGTGAGTGTGTGAGTGTGTGAGTGAGAGGCAAGGGGATGATTAGGGGGCTTTGACGAATCTCACCGCCGCCTCCGTCCCCTGTGCCGACAGCTGCTGCTACCACCGAGAGAGCGAGGAGGAGGTGGAGGAGGAGGAGGAGGAGGTGGAGGAGGTGCGGAGAGAGAGAACAACAACATCAGAGAGAGACCAACAACAACAACATCAGCAGAGAGAGAGAGACCAACAACAACAACATCAGCAGAAGAGAGAGCGAGAGACCAACAACATCAGCAGAGAGAGACCAACAACAACAACATCAACAGAGAGAGAACAACAACAACATCATCAGCAGAAGAGAGAACAGCAGCAGCAGTAGAAGAGAGAGACCAACAACACCATCATCATCAGCAGAGAGAGACCAACACCATCATCAGCAGCAGAGAGAGACCAACAACAACAACAGCACCACCACCATCATCAGTAGCAGAGAGAGACCAACAACAACACCACCACCACCACCACCATCATCAGCAGCAGAGAGAGACCAACAACACCACCACCACCACCATCATCAGCAGCAGCAGCAGGAAGGCACCAGCGATGATGATTTTGTTTGTCCGTTCAGCCCTCGCCTGCTGCCCCAGGGGAGCGTCGCTCCTACTCCGGCCGGCCCGCGTCGCCCACCACCCCCCCCTCCCCCTCCCCCTCCTCCTGCCACCCCCCTCCCACCCAGGTGAGGAATCTGGCAACACGTGCCAGGAGCGGTGCACGGCGAGTGGAGGTGAAGCCGGAGGCATGGAGAGGGGCGGAGGCGGCGATGAAGGGTGAGAGAGGGGGTGAGAGGGTGAGAGGGTGAGAGAGAGAGTGAGGGGGTGAGTGAGTGGGTGAGTGTGTGGGTGTGTGAGTGAGTGAGAGAGAGGGGGGGTGAGAGAGAGGGGGTGAGAGAGAGGGGGGCGTGAGTGAGAGGGTGAGTGAGAGAGAGGGTGAGAGGGTGAGTGAGTGAGAGAGAGGGTGAGTGAGAGAGTGAGAGAGTGAGACAGTGAGTGAGAGAGTGAGGGGGTGAGTGAGAGAGTGAGGGGGTGAGTGAGAGGGTGAGAGAGTGAGAGGGTGAGAGAGGGGGTGAGAGTGAGAGAGAGGGGGTGAGAGAGAGGGGGTGAGAGGGTGAGTGAGAGGGTGAGAGAGGGGGTGAGAGTGAGAGGGTGAGAGAGGGGGTGAGAGAGAGGGGGTGAGAGGGTGAGTGAGTGAAGAGTGAGAGGGTGAGAGAGAGGGTGAGTGAGAGGGTGAGGGGGTGAGTGAGAGGGTGAGAGAGGGGGTGAGAGTGAGAGGGTGAGAGGGTGAGAGAGAGAGAGAGGGTGAGAGGGTGAGTGAGAGGGTGAGAGAGTGAGAGAGTGAGAGAGTGAGTGAGTGAGTGAGGGGGTGAGAGAGTGAGAGAGAGGGTGAGTGAGAGGGTGAGGGGGTGAGTGAGAGGGTGAGGGGGTGAGAGAGAGGGTGAGTGAGAGGGTGAGTGAGAGAGTGAGAGGGTGAGAGAGAGTGAGGGGGTGAGTGAGAGAGAGGGGGGGTGAGTGAGAGGGTGAGAGAGAGAGAGGGTGAGAGAGAGAGAGGGTGAGAGAGAGGGGGGGTGAGTGAGTGAGTGAGAGGGTGAGAGGGTGAGTGAGTGAGAGGGTGAGAGAGGGGGGGTGAGTGAGAGGGTGAGAGAGGGGGGGTGAGTGAGAGGGTGAGAGAGAAGGGGGGTGAGTGAGTGAGAGAGAGGGTGAGTGAGTGAGAGAGGGGGTGAGGGAGAGGGTGAGAGAGTGAGTGAGAGAGAGGGTGAGAGAGTGAGTGAGAGAGAGGGTGAGAGAGTGAGGGGGTGAGTGAGTGAGAGAGAGGGTGAGTGAGAGGGGGGGTGAGTGAGTGAGAGAGTGAGGGGGTGAGTGAGTGAGAGAGAGGGTGAGAGAGAGGGTGAGAGAGTGAGTGAGAGAGTGAGGGGGTGAGTGAGAGAGAGGGGGTGAGAGAGAGGGGGTGAGTGAGAGGGAGGAGGTGAGAGGGTGAGAGAGAGGGTGAGAGAGTGAGAGGGTGAGAGAGAGAGGGGGTGAGTGAGAGGGTGAGAGAGAGGGTGGAAGAGTGAGTGGGTGTGTGAGTGAGTGGTGACCGGCCTCAAATGCCTACCCGGTGCGGCGTGTAGTTAACATCGCCACGGGAGAGACAAAGGCGGCCGGGCGTGGTGGTGACCACCCGTCCCCCTACAGCACTTGCCCCCGACAGCCTGTAGCAGGCTACACGGGGGACCTTTGCCTTTGGCGGGTAGGTGAGTGAGCGAGCTCCCATCTGGCAGAGCCAGGAGATTGAACCTCCCCCTCCAGGGACAGCAGTCCACTGCGATTGGCCAAGTGGAAGTGTTGCCGATGAGAGGCTGCCACTCCTCCGTCAGGAGGCAGAGAACGGTCAACGCCTGGACCTCGAGTGAATCGCCTCTGGCTCCAGTCGCGATGAGCGGGGCGGGGGGACCAGACTCACTCACCTACACTCACCTACACTCACTCACCTACTCACCTAGACTCACTCACCTACTCACCTAGACTCACCTAGACTCACTCACCTACTCACCTAGACTCACTCACCTACTCGCCTAGACTCGCTCACCTAGACTCACTCACCTACTCACCTAGACTCACCTAGACTCACTCACCTACTCACCTAGACTCACTCACCTACTCACTTAGACTCACTCACCTAGACTCACTCACCTACTCACCTACTCACCTAGACTCACTCACCTAGACTCACTCACCTACTCACCTACTCTCACCTACTCACCTAGACCTACTCACCTAGACTCACCTACTCACCTAGACTCACCTAGACTCACTCACCTACTCACCTAGACTCATCTACTCACCTAGACTCACCTACTCACCTAGACTCACCTACTCACCTAGACTCATCTACTCACCTAGACTCACCTACTCACCTAGACTCACCTACTCACCTAGACTCACCTACTCACCTAGACTCACCTACTCACCTAGACTCATCTACTCACCTAGACTCACCTACTCACCTAGACTCACCTACTCACCTAGACTCACTCACCTACTCACCTACTCACCTAGATTCACTCACCTACTCACCTAGACTCACTCACCTAGACTCACTCACCTACTCACCTAGACTCACTCACCTACACTCACCTACACTCACTCACCTACTCACCTAGACTCACTCACCTAGACTCACTCACCTACTCACCTAGACTCACTCACCTACACTCACTCACCTACTCACCTAGACTCACTCACCTACTCACCTAGACTCACTCACCTAGACTCACTCACCTACTCACCTAGACTCACCTACTCGCCTAGACTCACTCACCTACTCGCCTAGACTCACTCACCTACTCACCTAGACTCACTCACCTACTCACCTAGACTCACTCACCTACTCACCTAGACTCACCTAGACTCACTCACCTACTCACCTAGACTCACTCACCTACTCACCTAGACTCACTCACCTACTCACCTAGACTCACTCACCTACTCACCTAGACTCACTCACCTACTCACCTACTCACTCACCTACTCACCTAGACTCACTCACCTAGACTCACTCACCTACTCACCTAGACTCACTCACCTCCTCACCTAGACTCACCTACTCACCTAGACTCACCTACTCACCTAGACTCACCTGGTGAGACTCGCTCACCTACTCACCTACACTCACTCACCTACTCACCTAGACTCACTCACCTACTCACCTAGACTCACTCACCTAGACTCACTCACCTACACTCACTCACCTACTCACCTAGACTCACTCACCTACTCACCTAGACTCACTCACCTAGACTCACTCACCTAGACTCACTCACCTAGACTCACTCACCTACTCACCTAGACTCACCTACTCGCCTAGACTCACTCACCTACTCGCCTAGACTCACTCACCTACTCACCTAGACTCACCTACTCACCTAGACTCACCTAGACTCACTCACCTACTCACCTAGACTCACTCACCTACTCACCTAGACTCACTCACCTACTCACATACTCACCTAGACTCACTCACCTACTCGCCTAGACTCACTCACCTACTCACCTAGACTCACCTAGACTCACTCACCTACTCACCTAGACTCACTCACCTACTCACCTAGACTCACTCACCTACTCACCTAGACTCACCTAGACTCACTCACCTACTCACCTAGACTCACTCACCTACTCACCTAGACTCACTCACCTACTCACCTAGACTCACTCACCTACTCACCTAGACTCACTCACCTACTCACCTAGACTCACTCACCTACTCACCTACTCACTCACCTACTCACCTAGACTCACTCACCTAGACTCACTCACCTACTCACCTAGACTCACTCACCTCCTCACCTAGACTCACCTACTCACCTAGACTCACCTACTCACCTAGACTCACCTGGTGAGACTCGCTCACCTACTCACCTACACTCACTCACCTACTCACCTAGACTCACTCACCTACTCACCTAGACTCACTCACCTAGACTCACTCACCTACACTCACCTACACTCACTCACCTACTCACCTAGACTCACTCACCTACTCACCTAGACTCACTCACCTACTCACCTAGACTCACCTAGACTCACTCACCTACTCACCTAGACTCACTCACCTACTCACCTAGACTCACTCACCTACTCACATACTCACCTAGACTCACTCACCTACTCGCCTAGACTCACTCACCTACTCACCTAGACTCACCTAGACTCACTCACCTACTCACCTAGACTCACTCACCTACTCACCTAGACTCACTCACCTACTCACCTAGACTCACCTAGACTCACTCACCTACTCACCTAGACTCACTCACCTACTCACCTAGACTCACTCACCTACTCACCTAGACTCCCTCACCTACTCACCTAGACTCACTCACCTACTCACCTAGACTCACTCACCTACTCACCTAGACTCACTCACCTACTCACCTACTCACTCACCTACTCACCTAGACTCACTCACCTAGACTCACTCACCTACTCACCTAGACTCACTCACCTCCTCACCTAGACTCACCTACTCACCTAGACTCACCTACTCACCTAGACTCACCTGGTGAGACTCGCTCACCTACTCACCTACACTCACTCACCTACTCACCTAGACTCACTCACCTACTCACCTAGACTCACTCACCTAGACTCACTCACCTACACTCACCTACACTCACCTACACTCACTCACCTACTCACCTAGACTCACTCACCTACTCACCTAGACTCACTCACCTAGACTCACTCACCTACTCACCTGGTGAGACTCACTCCCCTACCGACGTAGCGACTGGGTGGGCAACTCTCCCCAAGGCTGTAATGTTAGTATGTGTATTGAACGAAGCTTTGTCACGGGGGGGGGGGGGGCAGGGCAGGGCAGGGTAGGGACTGACCCTTGCCTCGGGGGGGGGCTGCCGTGCCTCGAACATTGGCAGAAGAAGCTCGCGATCCGCAAGTCCGAGGCCATTGAAAGCACCGGCTAGTGACGCCCTCCCGAGTGAAATCACTTGAGGGGGGAGGCGTGGCGTTTGTGTGCAGAACTGCCCCACATTCGAGTAGTTTGAGGCTGCTGCTGCTGCTGCTACTGCTGCTGTTGCTGCTACTGCTGCTGCTGTTGTTGCTGCTGCTGTTGCTGCTACTGCTGCTACTGCTGCTACTGCTGTTGTTGCTGCTGCTGCTGTTGTTGCTGCTACTGCTGTTGTTGCTGCTGTTGCTGCTGCTGCTACTGCTGCTGCTACTGCTGCTACTGCTGCTGCTGTTGTTGCTACTACTGCTGCTGCTGTTGCTGCTGC